GAGGAAATACAAACTACGTACTTAAGGGATCTTTGAGACAGTACAACTTGCTTGCTATATGACAATTTATAATCACAACTAAGATCAAATAAGGAAAAATTCTTTGAGGGAAAAAAAGCATGATTAAAAATGGCTACCATATATAACATTTTAAGTCTAGATGAAATTAATGTGTTTGAATTTTTGAAAACTTACAAACAAAACCCTTCCATGTATAAGTTAAGAAAATCATTCATCATATGAATTCAATAATTGAAACACATAATATATCGACTTAGTCCATATGATTTAAAAGAAATTAAATAAATATCTTTATTTTAATTTATTTGATATCATCATTAATAAATAAAAATTAAACCAAAACAAAATATTTGGTTGTTGTTAAAAATAATATGGATCAGAAATTAAAGACTGTAATACATATGATAAAGTTCATGAAATGTTTTTTTTTTCTAAAACAATTAATTTTTATAAGTTTTGTTGTTTTGTGTACCCTGATAATTTTCATGTTTTTAGATAGAGTAATCCCCTTCGTGAAACTAAATTATACTACTCACTCAAAAGAAAATCATTATTAAATTAACCTTTATTAATATAATTGTTTTAGCAAAAATTAAACTATTAGTATAAACATTATGAGTTTATACTAATAATATGATATATTGTATTAATGAATAAATTTATAATAAAAATATTAATATATATCATTAAATGCTATATATACAATACATTATTTGTTAATATAAACTTTTAAAATTTCTGTTATTAATTTTTTTGTTAAACAAAAGTTATTAAAAAAATATTATTTTCATTCTTAATAAATTGATTTATTAATTAATAACATTTTTTTACAGCGTCTTAAAATTCCATTACATTAGTAACAAAAAACCTTATAAAGATTCTTGAATCACTTAACTCTTATTTACGTAAGTTGCATCTTATTCATATTAGGATTAGGTTTTGAGTCAATGGGAGGTTAAGAAGAGGAGTAGTGCTACACATCTTTTTATAGTATTTTCTTTTAATTTTCTTAATGGAAGAGTATTCAATAATATATATATATAATATCTTTAAAACATAAAATACATCAAATTCTATTTTCCTTTGATAAATAACAGAATTGTTGTAAATATATGCTTATTATCATGGAAACCAAATTTATATACATATCGATCGAGTGAGGAAAAGAAAAGAAAAGAAAATTGTAGCAAGGATAAGATTAGAAATGAAGCATATAGTAATGAGTATGTATGAAATTGTGCACACGAAGTGAAAAAAGATGCTTAAAGGATAACACTAATTTTCAGATTTAGCTTTAAAATGGTGGTCCAAATTATGATCATTTAGACGGATACAAACAAACATGGTAGAAAATTGTGTGGGCTTAATTAGGCTTTTATAGGCTTACCACCAACCAAATAATGCAAACGTGTTACAACTTACCCAAAATAAAAACAACTATATATTCTATATCAAGTCCACGTAAATAAATATATAATGTCGTGCTTCAATGTCAGAAGCGATATTAATAATATTTCCAACACGATTTATAACCTTTTTTTTTATTATTTTAATTCATTCATGCAATTAAAATCTATTAAATAAGACGAGTTTAATTTATTGAGTCTCTTGTAATTTTTGTCAATAATAAAATATGTTATATATAATATATTTGAATATATAATGATATTTTAATCCCTTGACCAAATCTTAATTTTAATTTGGCTTAGATTAAGTGAAACAATTCATGGCCTTCGTCTCTTGTATGTTAGATTTAATGTCTAAATCAGGTATAGAAGGAAAATTACAAAATTTCTTTAAAATAAATCACAAATGGAGTATTTTTCATTGGATTTTCATGTCTTTTGCATCAAACCTCATGAATGAAACCATCCTATTTTTGTTCATTGATCCAAAAACTACTCTAAGGCTGTTTTTATTAATATTTGTCGTTGGATTAGTCTCTATTGATATAATATTTATTTTACAAACAAAAATATTAGTATACATTTATAGATTTACATTAACAAACAATTTCACTAATACAAAACATTAATAGGTTATTAATACATTAATAGGTTATTAATACATTAAATGTTAGTGTAACACATCTTGTTATTAGTATAAACTTATAATATTTTTACTAATAGTTTAATTTTTATCATATTAAGGAAGACAATCCTAATATTTGATATTTTTTTTATCCATTAATAAGTGATAATTTATTATAAAAAAATCACATCTTATAATATTATTGTGCTTGCATATGAAAAAAAAATTCTTTGTTAATGCCTAGCTCATGCCAACTTTTTTACCTATTCACAATTGCCTTTTTTCAAAATGTTGAATGAGACATATTGAAGACATTGTCAAGTTTCAAAAGTATATACACTGTAATGCAACAAACTTACTGGCTATAATAATATTTTATTATTGATAGACTTTAACTTTGTTAGGAAAATTATTAGTGGTGTATCAAACTATTAACTTGTTTAAACTTTTGAAATAAGTAATTTTGTAATCATAAGAAATTTGAATTGCATCATATTAAATTTAAAGTTTTATTTAAATTAATTTAGACTGAAACATAGTATAATTTAATAATTAAATCAGATAATTATTTTAATTTAAATAATCGATTTAAATTTTATTATAAACACTCTTAATTTATTATTATAAGATATGTATGCAAATATTATTTTTATTATGATATATTTTATGACATCATTAAAATGATTTAGACTAATATTTTAAGAATGTATATTTGTCTCATTTAATTATGTTTTTTTTATTTGGTATGAAATATAAGTATATTAGCGCGTGTGATATATGTGCTATTATATATTTAGAATATACTTTGAAATTATTAATTAAACATGTCAAATATATATAAAAAAAAGTTATAATTTAATCATATCACTGTAAACACTGATGGAATTTTACTTAAACTTTTGTTACGTATGATTCATAATTAGTTGGACTATTCATGTATACTTTGTTGAGATATTCTGTATTCTCGTCTAGTATAGTCAGAATTATTTTTTGAATAATGGTATTTTAATACTTAATTTGGGTGTTTATATTATATACTGTATACAAATTTAAAAATAATTATACTATAATTGTATAGGATATTTGGTATAAACATTCAAAATGGATGTTAAAATAACATAATTTTTATTTTTCTAATAAGATACAATTTAATAATTATAAGCTTTCTTATTTAAAGTTTTAACCAGATAAAATATAATGCGTTCTTACATTCGCTTCTATATTCTAAATAATTATAATTATCAAAATAATTTGTCATATTATCATAATATTTATTATAAAAATAAATTTTATCAATATAATTTTTATTAATGTCATATTGTCATAATGATTTTGTATATAAATTTTTTATACATAATTAAAATATTTATTAATCTATAATTGAACAGTAATTATTTATTTATTTTTAAAAATTTTAAAAATTGACAATAGAAATTTTTAGCACTTTAATTTTTTTATATATAATTTTTAGTTGTTCCATCTTTGAATCTTTACACTTGCACCTTTTTAGTTTTCATATTTTTGTAATTTTTTCTAAAATCTCATATTTTGATATATATTATTTTTAAATATTGTATAAAAATAATCAAACTTAAAAATATACCAAGTACTTGTCTTATACCTGTGTAAATGTTCGTTAAATGAATTTTAGATGAGATTAGAGTTATTTAATTATAGATAATCATATAATTAAAAAGTATTAATTTTTATAATGATTATTTTAAAATTTATATCAACTAATTTTTATTAGTTAAAAGTGTAAATTTTTTTATACTTAACAATATATTAAAATAAATTTAAATACACTAATAATGTAAATAATTATATTCATAATATATTATAGTTAATTGATAATTTAAACTTTTTACATTAACAATGTAAAAAATTAAGCTTGTATGCGTGTATACATGTACGTATATTTTAATAGTGACCTAAACGTGTGAGAGTACGGAATGAACTATTTTGGTTATGTAAAAATATGAATAAGAGAATTTGAGGTTAAAGTTAATAGAGTTTGCTATTCTTTCCTCTCATATATAATAAAATTATTTTCTCTTTTGAGAGGAACATAGACTTTAAAATTAATTGTCAAATCATATTAATTATTATTTTGTTTGTGTACTCTTATTGTCATCTGTATAATTTGGAACGCAGAAAGGTTTCAACATGGTGGCGTCTTTCATCAAGTTGTTAAAATTAGTTGCTTAGCAAATGATTAGTACACTGGCCATGGTTCCAAAATTCTAACTAATTAATTACGATAGATTGAGTTTAATCTCTGAACCTTTATTATATAGTATGCACCATTATCTAGTTTCCTTTAAAAATATGATGCTCGAGTTTCTTAATAATAAATCGTATCTGAGGTCTCTGTACGTGATTGACGATGCTTATGCTTGTAGAAATCAATTTCCTACGATTTCAAGCTATCACAAGAATCTTTCGATGTGGTTTCGTTTTTTTTTTTTTCTTCTTTAACTTTTAATTTTAAATTATAGCAAATTATTAAGCTGAGAAAGACATAAAGTCATAAAATGTGGGTCACGAATCATTTATCCATTTGAGAGAGCCATCGATCTCATTCCCAAATCATCAGTTATTGTATTTTATAGGTGCATTCGTGAAATTCATGTGATAATAAATTTCCACACAATATTACTAATCTACTAATAAAGGACACGCTACGTTAGCTTTGTTGACAAAGAGGAATAGCTAGTGATTCTGGGGCTAGCCTGGTACCTTTCGTAGACTATGTTACCTCTTAAAGGATTATTACAATGCGACAATGTGACAGGAATCAAATCGCACATATGCCACCAAAAAACAAAATAAAAATAAAAATTACAACATGACAATGATCAAGTTACACATATCCAACTAAAAACAATCAACCGAACTTTCATTTTCATAAAATATAATGTACGAATACTTTTGAGTGGGGACAATTAATAAGAGAAATTAAAGAATATGGTTTATTTTCTCTGCTTTGAGCAAATGAGTATTTAAACAATCACCTTATTGAATAAGTCACTGAAATTGGGTTACTGATGAGGGACCTGTACAGTTTAAAGGAGATCATAAGTTAATTTGGAACCTTATTATCATTGGTATAGCTAGAAAAAACCATCACCTTGGATTAAAAGAACTTTTGCTTTCCGTTCATGGATTTGCTTATGGATAAATAACACTGCTAATCAGTTATGACATTTTTCATGGAAAGGCATACTTAATATGAAAAAGGGTGAAATCTTACAAGTTAATTAGTTTTCTTCTAAAAGAAAGCAAGGTACTTTCATAATGATAAAGTAGGGTAAAAGTAATGGCCAAACATGAATTCCCTATCTTATCAGGCAAAATAACAATATTTTCAAAAAAGCGCCAAATATAAAGTGAAACGAGATATTTCTCTTTTTAAAAGTGGATTTTGGAATTGGAGTGCAAAAAATGCCATTTTTTCATGGTTAAAGTTTTATGGAAACTCTATCTCAAGACTATTTTGAATCCGATTAAAAGCTATTTAAACAAATAAAATTATTTCATGATATTTGAATTTGTAACTTCGTGTAAATTATTTAAACTCCTAAGTATTCATTAAATTATATTCTAGTCTATAGACAAATAACTTATCAGATATGCTCCAACTTCGGAAGCAGTTGCCACAAAAAGTAGTTAAATATCCCTTCTTCTCTTGTCCCCCACCCCCTACTTTGTCTCTCTCCACTATTATCACTTCCTTCGTCTGAATATGAATATGATCCATGAATCATCGTGACTGTAAAAATATAACTTCCGCAGAGTTTTTTTTTTTTCTTTTCCTTTTTCTATATTTGAGTAAGAAGTTAAGAAAAGTACACGAGAATTGTATGTGCTTTCGCTTTAAATGTGTGGAGAAAGAGAATTGTCAATTAGAGAATTAATTAAGTACATAATAATTAGCCGTAGATTAATTAAGAAGCATGAAATAGTAATAAATTAAAATGATTTGCTTGTCACGCAAATCTTAGGACAATCGTTGGAGATGTTCTTTAAATGTTAAAAAGAGAGGCTGAAAATTAACATACAGTGGTATCTGTGGGACCTGAGAGAAGTGACGTTGATAATGATATCCCACATGAGAGAAAATAGTAGGGCAAAGAGAGTGGGAGAATGCCACGTGGTCATGGGAGCAGCTTCGTTCTTACTTGGCTGGAATTGATTGATCACTGTGATAGAAAAACCTTCGAGACTGATCAACAACAATCATTGAGGTCCCACTTAAAATTAAATTGAGAAAATAATATAAAAATCATGTGAATTGGAAAATGAAAGATTATTTACTGAGAGCTGAGTTAAATAATATAAAGATTATTAAACATTTGTTGAAAGATTTGGTTAGCTATAGGGTGTAACTAGCAATGAGAAAAAGACTTAAGAAACACACATTGGATGAAATTATTGGCCCTAAAGAGAGGGGAGAGGAATATTAAGCCGTCACTCATTCTCCAACATCATCCACCTTCACCCAACAAAAGTTCCATCATTAGACTAAATCCCTAACCTTCGCAATCATTTGTATTATCTTTTCCCTCGGTAAGGATAGTCATAATTTTATTATAGAATAATCTTCTACGTCACGCCCTGCCCATGACGTGTATATTCAATATGTGGCACTCTTATTACATGTGTCTTCTAAAGCATGCTCAATTCCCGTTGATTCAGGGTTTCGATTTCAAAGAATATATATTGTGAACAAGTTATGTTGATTTAATTTATGTGTCCCCCTACTAAGACCTCTCAGTCATTTTCGCTTTTCATTTTACCTAGCTAGCTTGTCATCAAAAGGATTCGGTGACAAATCATGATTCAGCCAGATTTTACTAATTCATATGCTGCTTCTACCTCTAGCTATTGCTATTTGACATTTATAGACCTTCGTTAAAAAAAATTTAGCAAGTAATATGATTACATATTTACATTAGCCCTAATAATCATTTAATTGGCCCCAGTGGTTTGTCCCACGTACATGAATATCACTGTTTCTCCGACAGGACCATATTAAACGATTAATGACCAAGTTCTCGTTTCAATAACGTACTGTGTTATCGTTCGTGCCACATATAACTTCACAACGGGACCACATTGATCAGTTCCCCTTTCTTGCAATGGCGAAAAAGGCCCATCATCTGAATGTGCAAAGTGACCAATTTTACAAGTAATCCTGCTATATCTTCCTAAGTTAGATCTTAATGTAAGATACTAAGTCCTTTTTAATTTGCCCCTTTTGTCACACTCAGAGACAAATCCCATCTCGCTAAAGCTTAAAATAAATGCCATGTAGTTAAGGTACATAATCATAAACAGACAGAGATTAACAAATATTTTAAAATGCATACAAAACTTTGAACTGTTTAAAAAGGGTATAATTAATAATGTTTAGTGTAATTAAACTGAATATGTAAATATAAATATTACCCATTATAATTATTATGTCTGGTCAAATAGAGGAAGAAAAGATCAGAGGAGGAATCGCAATGGAGTCATCATCTGTCACATACACACCCCTAATTATTATATAATTTCGATGATACATGTTTTGACAAATATTCATTTTGTCCTCATCTACATTATTATTGCCGTGCTAGCAATTGCATCCCTCATCACCCAGCCAGAAACAAAAAGCAAAGAAATCACCTATTAGAAACTCCGTTTTTGATAAGTGTAGAAAGTACAACATGGCTTGATTATCATTCCTGTTAGGTTCTCCATCACAAGGGGCAGAGGGAGCCCAGATAGAAGACAATTAATAAGGCTACCCCACACACCCCCGCATGATTCCAAACTATCATTCTGTGATCAAGAATGGAACAGATGGGACTTCTAACTTCATGATTGGCATTAAATTCTATTTCCAGCTACTTGAATTATTTTCTCTTATTTCTTAGAGCTGTCACATGTTAAATTTATTCACAATTCATCAAATGCTCACGTGCTAGTTGCCCAATTGAATCTTGGGACTTCCATTAATAATTTAATTGTAAAGCAATCAGGGACACATCTGGATATATTCTAAATTAATAAACAAGTTCTCAAACTTTTCTACTATGGTATGTGTCATTTGCTTGCTAACCTATTACCTTACCTACCAGTGGAATGGAACAAACAGATACAGCCACGCTTGTCTGTTGTGAACAGGAACAAAATTAAAAGGCGCACCATAGAAAAAGACTCCAAGAATGTATATAACAAGAGTGCATGACCAAAGTACTGAAAAGCAATAAAAAAAAAGACCAAAAAATCGTGATTTTGGGATGATCTACAAGTAATAACCTTGATTCAATGTACCCAATAAAACAAATAAAAACTTAACTAATTGATTAATTAAGAATTTAAGATTCGTGCGTCAATCTAGAAAACCAAAGCCAGAAAAGTGTTGGACTACTACCAATGAGGTCTCCTAGCTTGACATATTCAACTAAACTCCTCAAAACTACTTTAAACTGGAGACGACAAATGCTGAGAGAAGAAAAGTTAACATTAAAGTATTGGATGGATATAGATGAGGGGACTCTGGTCACAGAGAAGTGTACATTTTTACGAGCACTCTATAAAATTATAAAAACATACAAAAATTTGTATAGAAGTATAACGTAAATTTATACAAATTTAAATCTTCTTTAGTTGGGCAACATTCTATCCAAGGAATTGGAATCTACTGCTGTCTTTGTTTGGTGTTCTCTGTTCCATCAATTATAAGGTGTTTTGTTCATAGTTAAGAGGTGATATTCTCCCTAATTAATTTTTAGTTTTTTATGTCCAAATATTTTTTTTATTGGAGAGACAAAAAATAAAAATAAAACAAGAAATGAGGACAAATGATTTGATTTCCTGTGCAGGTGCAAATTATAGTTGTGATTTGTGACACAAAAAGTTACTCTCATTTAGTTACTGTTATTTGATAGTTTTCTCCTCTAATTAAGGGAAGATAATGGAGGAAAGAAACTTTTTTTTTTTAAGAATAAAAATAAAAAGGGCATTTTGGAGGGTGTGTCTGAGTGATATTATTGTTCTACCCTTGTTTGTCAGGAGGTTTCTTGTAACTTTGGTTTTTCTTGAAACTTCCTACTATAACTAACCACTAACACAAGCATGTCCCTGCTGGAATATTTAGTAAGAAATTCTAATTAAATGGCAAAGTCTCATATCTTTCCAACTATATATACACACGCAGTACCAACCTTTCTGCCTCTATAACTCAATATTTCAAATACCCAGAGGGAGTAACTTCTTCAAAAGCTTCAATTATATACATTATCCACATTCCCACCTCTACAAAATACTCATTAGATTTCCCTCTCTCTTTCTCTATCAACTCTTTCATATCTTTACTCTGATCATTTCCTTCAAACCCCAAAAATCATGGGTCTCAGAGACATTGGTGCTTCACTGCCTCCTGGGTTTCGGTTTTATCCGAGTGATGAGGAATTGGTATGTCACTACCTTTACAAAAAGATCGCAAATGAGGAAGTTCTGAAGGGTACCTTGGTGGAAATTGACCTCCACATATGCGAACCATGGCAACTTCCTGGTATACATATGTTATCTGAATTATGTTCATCTAGCTCGTTAATTTTAATTTTTTTCTGAAACGTATATGGTTGTCTCCTTTGTTAATTTCTGAAATTATCATCTTTTCCCATTTGTTGTCTTTCTTTAATTATGTTGGTTTGTTTGTTATAATTAAGAAATATAATAATTACATCGATTAATTACTTCACATTCACAAAACAGATGTCCTTTTGTCTTCTCATAAACCTGTGTCTATAGCTATTGTGTTGGCATGTGTCTTCATAAACCTGCTAGACGAACATGTCTGGCATATGTTGTTAAATACGGAGAAGTGGGAGAGAGAGAGAGAGAGAGAGAGCTGATGAGAGAAGAACATAAAGGGGATCGAGGTAAGAGGAGGGGTTATCACATTTACATTCACGACACTGAATTAAGTTCATCAATGATATGATTAACGTAATGCCAAACTTCTTGATGAATAGTTGAATACTCTGTCTCTCTGTCAAAAAAATAAAACGTTCTTTGTATTAGTAATTAATTTTTATAATTAACATATTCAACTTGATATATTTGCCAGAATAATTGTTTTTGTCTTTTCTATATTATGGGCTCTTTTTTCTTACCCTACAAGCACATACCAAACATGTTTCTTTTTTGTTCGATATAGTATTAAATGAAGATTGAAACGATGTTTCTGAGCTCTATGCTGCAAATAGAGTTAGTTTAGATAAAATATTTATAAAAAGAAAACAAAATAAAGTAGAACAAATTAGATTTCTTGTACAAACTAAAATAAACTTAAATACATTAAAAAGTTTTATATATTTTTTCTTCAATTTTTATAAATTAGAAATTGAATATTTATCTTAATTAAAAAAAAAACTATAAACTGAAAATTTGTCTAGTTGGGGCCATGGTCTCTCATCTGTCTTTTTCCGGGTTCGATTATTCATTATTCTCTTCCTTGGTACTGCCAATTACTTCTTTCAGTTTAAACGGCTTCATAAAGTATTTTATTTTTGCGGATAATGCTTTATCCATTTGCAGTAAAATACAAAATATAAGGCTGCCAAGTAATACTTTGATTTAGTTTCCCATATTTGTGTTTTGGATTATACATATAAATAAATTCACAATTTACACAGCCTATATGCATGCACCACACTATCGTACATTCATATAAAATTATTTGGCTTATTTTTCATCATGAGTCAATCTGGGCCATATTTTTATAGTTATCATATATTTATTTCGAATAAGCATTGTGCATAGCTGGATTCGTTTGCTTCTAATTCTGTGAGTGATCGTTAGGTTTCCCACTCGTCATGAAGTGGAGAAACCAACCCCCTTCAACACAATATAGAGCCCTAGCACGGGAGCTTTTACAGGCTGGAGCATAACTCTTATTCAAGTAGTTTATTGATTCATGCATAGAATCGTGTCCCTTCAGTTATTTATTTTTTTCTTTTGGTTTTAGTGTTCCTTTAATTTTTTTTTCAGTCTAAGGTTAGAGAACATGGAATATAGCATCCCTTTAATTTGAAAATTGTTTGTTATAATTTATAGAGAGCTTGTACTGAGTGCAAAGCAGAAAGAAAAAATAACAAAAGATATAAAAAGTAATATGATAAAATATATAAAGAAAAGAGAAAAATAAAAATACTATAAGTATAAAAAAGAATTCTTGTAAATTTACCCTTACATGTGTATAAATATTACCTATATATAATTGGTAACTATTATTTATTATTACAAAGTTGACAAAGCAATACTTTTCTACCAAGAAAACCAAGATTGATGTCTTTAATAAACGGTGACACACACATACGTGTATATACGCCTCAGTTACCTTTCTTGGACATGACATGACGCGCTATCTAGTTGATTTTTACTCGTTAGCATTCATATTATGTGCGAATATGTAATTATCAACTATATGTTCCCTCATAAAATATAATTAAAGGCAACTTTTATACATGAAAGGACATACGTGATCTTTCTTGCGTAGAATATTTAGTCCTCTTTTCATGCACAACATTATGAAAGCTGTGAAAGGCGGTAAGAAGAGAGAGGGTGAAACAGGCCACGCAATCACATATTCAGCAAAATAGCCAAAACCTTGAAAATTCCAAGTTCCAACCACTTATGTTGGTGTAATCAATCACTACGTTGTTGTCATCTTTGTCCGGTAGGATTGGAAAATTGAAAATTTAATGTCATTAATGTACTAGGTGGCATGTGAAAATGATTCTACAATAGACCTAACTATTATTATTAATTTCATGAACACAATTGATTGCACGTACTATTATACCTCACCTTGGTCATGTGTTGTCTGTCTGGTTGCTATATATATAAAAAAATTGACCGGTCATGTGTTGATGCATGCGCACTGTTCAGAGGTGGCTAAGCTCAACGCAAATGAATGGTACTTCTTCAGCTTTCGGGACCGCAAATATGCGACAGGGTATAGAACCAACAGGGCCACTACATCAGGGTATTGGAAAGCAACGGGGAAGGATCGTATGGTGCTGGATCCAACCACGCAAGAGGTTGTAGGGATGAGGAAGACATTGGTGTTCTATAGGAACAGAGCTCCAAATGGCATCAAAACTGGATGGATCATGCATGAGTTCCGCTTGGAGACCCCACACATGCCGCCTAAGGTTCGTTTCCACTTTCCCTTTGTTAGCTTTTGCTCGTGGGGTGCATCTTTGTTTCCTTTTTTAAAACAAAAATAGTATGTTTCAAATTTACTTTTGAGAATGGTCTGATTTGTTAAAAGCTAATTTTATAACGTGATTTTAAAATATATATTTTTTAATAAATGTGTTAAAATTATAATACTTGCATAAGTCACTATAAAAGAAAATATCATTAATTTATTAATTATTTAGTGTTGTAGCTTTTAACTGATAAAAATTACACTGTTGTAAGGTAGTTGGTTTGATTAATATGATTAAGGTCAAATCTTTTGGTAGGAAAGGTTCTTTGTCTTCTTTTGATTGGTGTTCAAATCCTTCGGGTGTATATTCATCAGATTTGGTAATTTGAGATGTGTAAGGATTAAGACTTGCTTATAATATCCACTGTACTTTTTTAATACTATTTTGCTTATATTGTCAGCAGATAATTTTTTTAGTATAAAAAATTAATTTATATTAGTATTATATTTCATCTTAGTGAATTTCATCATGTTATATATGCTAATAATTTAATTGTTAATCATAAAAGAGTTATATTATTGAAAGTAATTAACATTTTCTATACAATAATCAATGACTTTTTTAGTGAGTTGAGATTTAAAATGAATGTTTTTCAATGTTATAAGACATAAGCTATTCTAAGAATTGTCAAAACGAGTAAATTTAGCTCACAAAATGTTTGCCTACTAAAAGTTGGACATGACAGAGAGGCCATCTCAACTCACTTCTAAAGTGAGTTAAAAAAAATGTTAATATGACTTAATTTACTTATTCAGTTAGTAAATTTATTGGTTGATTTATCAAATAAAAAGCATTATAAAAATTTATAAAATCCAAAAACATATAAAATTTTCATAAAAATATATTTATTATCATTTAATAGCTAATCTCTATTATTATGTTAAACTAATTTTCAAATAATTAAACTTTTAATTATATATATATTAATTTAATTTAAATAAATAACTCAGGGTTTTTTTTTTTTTTTTTTTTTTTTGCTGATACTTAGGGGTTGATTTAGCTTACCATGGAATCATCTATTTAATAGGTAAGTTAGGACTGAAAAAAAATTCAAATATATAACTTAAGAATCAACTTCTATGTAATCTAACTTACTAAAAACTCACCACAAGTGAAGTTGGCTTGCGAGTTAAAATATATTTGTATCAGCTCTAGGCATTGCTAACATTAAATTCATGGTTGATAGTTACATCTTTAAAAATTGTGATGAAAAACCCTTCATGCTATTTAATGTTATACATAGATAATCCAAGTTGTAATACTTGACCATGATCTATGATTTCTGTTTATGTAATATGAAAAAAACCACTAAATCATATTATATAACTTTGTACACATAATAAAAATATTTAACCCATGAATAAGTTGTGTTTCGTATTCATCATTTTATATCAATTACATAGTTCTGAAATTTAAATTTAAAATTATATATATTAGTAAAAAATAATATACAAATATTTTAATAAATTTAAGTTATCATTTATTAAATATTCATTCTGAAAAAGGTAAAGTAAATTAACACATAGATGTTAAAATAGTGTAAATCTTGACAAAATTTTTAGTAAATTACATTTTTAAAATATTAAATAAATTAAAATTATAATTCACTGACTTTTTTTAATAATAATTAGAAGTATATTAACAAAACTACACACGTTTATAAGGAAATTAGATCTAGTGGGGAAAACATGTGCACAGATTCTCCCTAAAAAGACACGACAGATTTTCCAACCTCTTTGTACTGAAGTTGGATGCTATCAACTTTAGCACCATGGAAAGAGAGATATAAAGAAGAAAAAAAGTAAAATACATTTTTAATCTTAATAGATATTATTTAATATAACTTTCATTTTTTAAAGTTCTTTATAAATTGGAATCCTCTTCATGAATATATTTTTATTATCACTCAACGATAATCAAATATACAATGAGGATTGTCGTGATTCAATTCCTTTGTTACGGATGAATTGCTGTAAGCCATAAAATAAAATATAATCAGTAGGGGAAAAAACGAAGAGTATTGTTGTCTTTACTGTGTATTTTTTGTGTGAGGATAAAGTTGATTTACGCGTATATTTCAAGTTGACAATTATTTTTGCTAATTAGGTAAAACCTTTGTTGATTACAGGAGGACTGGGTGTTGTGTAGAGTCTTCCACAAAAGCAAAGAAGAAAACAGTTCCAAACTAAGCACGCAACTTGTGTACGAGACAACACCTCCATCCCTAACTTTGGCTTCGTCATCTCCAACCAACCAATCCATCCCTGTTGGGTATAACAGATTTCCCTCTTTCTCTTCCTCCATGCCAACCCATCATCACTTCAACCCCACCCAAAACAATTCTTTGATGAATCTCCTTCACTTTTCTCGGGAAACAAACACCAACAATAGCACTGTTACTCATATTAGTACCAAAGGTGATGATGGGTATGGCTTCTTGTGGGACATGGATCTAGAAGAAAATAGCCTAGATGATGGCGTGGCTTCAAACTTGGACGCAATAAGATTCGACCTTGATAATAATAATAACAATATGGTCTTGTTGTAAAGATGTGTTGTGTTATGTGTACATAATCATATAGCTATATGTGGTTCATATCTCATAAATTGTCAAAATTCGTTGATTTGTGAAGTATTTATGGTGTTTCGCTTTGAGGGGCAAGTCACATGAAAGATTGGGATTAGTTGTTCCAACGTTGTGGTATGTTGTTAAAGTGGTAGGGTTATTATATAGTGTGTCCTTTAGGCATTTCGTAATTATTATTTACTTCTTTTATTATTTTGGGGATAGGGCACTGTGAATCCTTTGTATACAATATCTGCCTATTTGTAATTAGAAATAGTGTTTATATTTTGTCTTTCTTCGTTAATTTCTTTTATTTATTGTCATCACTGAAAGCTCTTACTGCGAGACTGAAAGTCCATATATATAACCTACAATTATTTGTGTGAATCAACCGATCGATCGTGACATGCAAACTGAAGCTTGTGACAACAATTTTATTTTGGAAGGAACAACATTATATTGTACTTTAAAGAATGATTAACCTCGTACTTAAATGGCTGAGGGGTATCTTTCGAGAATTATAAAAAAGAAACGTTAGACCAAAGGAGATGAGTTAAAAGAAAAGAAAAAGAAGGTATGGCCACTTGGCTTTTATGAATCATGATAACTGTGGACTTAAAAAATTAAATTTAAGATTTCTATTGATGCGTGATATGGAACCCAACCAGATGTCCTTGCTTAGATTGATGATTTCCCCTAACTTCAAAATAGGAAGAGCACCTAAACTATATTTAAATTAGAGGGGAATAAAGATTGGAGTGCAAGTTTTATGTCTTCTAAACAATCTAGATCCTAGCAAAACCATATAAAACAGAACTTTTATTTTTTTAAATTTTATTAACCTCAACTCTTAAAGTTAAGTTTAAACATATATAAATAAAAAATAATAATAGAAAGATATACATTTATTATATTAAAGTTATAAAAATATAATAAATATTTTTTAATAAAATTATTATTATTAGCAATGGCATTGGTTATTTAAGGTTATAACAAAACCGTATCTTTCAAATTTCTTTCTTTTTTAATGTATGACATCAGCCATCGTATTTTTACTTCTTTATCTTCTCTTATTATCTCGAACGTAAGCATATGTATCCATGAAATGAATGTATAACAACCATTTTTCATATTCAATTGACGCGGGAAAGAGGCAAGAGAGAGCAGGAGAGAGGGAGATATTAATAGAAGGATATTGAAGTTACGAGATAACGGTCCTGAAAATGTAATTGAAGTACATGCGATCTTTATCAAGTTAGGATCTTAGCAACTCAAACTATATACGTAAATATATTTTCTTTTGTCCACTCAAATTGCCTCGTAAATAAAAAATTCAGTTGGCCAACTACAAAACAAACAAAATCGAAAGCAAAGATAATATTTAATGTTTCATTGAAATGGAAAATTTTAATTAGGGGAGTGGGGACAACAAGTGGAGACAGATTATTTTGATCTCTCATAATAATCTTTTTCATACTTTACAAGTAAAATCTTAAAATAAAATATATATACATTTAATATCTTTGAATATATATAACAAATGAATGTCTTCTTTATTTAAAAACCAAAAAAATAATAAAAATATTAGAGGTGAGTGGTGAATTTCTTTTAATACAAATTTTGAACTTAAAAAAACTTATTTATAAAGTAAATAAATTTTTTATCATTTTGATCTACATGTATTGGTCAGTTTTTTGTTTTTTGTTACGTGAAGAAGATTGGATGAGTGGTGAAATTATTCCATTATATTAAGAACTTTATATACAAATTGCTTAGTTCGTAAAAATAATGTCGTTAACAATAAATCCTATATAAATCTTATAAACAAAGTGAGCCTCATGCTCCTGTGCTGTCTATCTAGCTAGGCATCAATGTCGCAACACAAAACCACCAATTTATCCAAATCTCAACTGTAAAAACATCATAATCGTGGATGGGATAGGATGCTTATTAACTTGCCATGCACAAAAAAGTAGAACACAGACGTGTTGATTGATCATAGGTAGGAAAAATGTTTTCGTCAAACAACATTTGAAAATAAGCACATTTGACATATATGTTCGAAGCATGTGAGAAATTTCCAATACTTGATGAATAAAGCTTTGAGTTATCATTTTTTAACCTATGCACCCTTGCTGCCCCTCCTATCACTTTCAACGGGGAATCTTCCGTCTATTCATGTTTTAACAGACACGAATCAGACACCTAACCTATGGTAAATCCATTCTATATATGATCAACATTTAAATGATTTAATGAAGGGCATGAACAACAACATAGTAAGACTAATCAAATACTAGCTAAGAAAAAAGCACACGAGATTCGACTAAGCGATACAAGCATATGTGACTTTTGCACGAGATTAAAGTAAGGAAAGGGACATGAAATCAAGGCAGATAGAGCTTGTGAGATCTTAATTTGCCTCTCCTATTTCACTTTTTATTTATTTAGGTAGTCGCTTTAATTAATCAATGAGTCCTTAGTCATATTGTGCTTGAATTATTTCTAACGTAGTTCACTGTGTGTTAGTTATTTGTCGGCACTCTAATGGATTGACATTGATAGATATATATGTGGCGCATGTGGCTACAAGAATATGTTATATACGTGTGCTGCATGTGCCTCAGGTAAAAAGAGATTCCTTCATTCCCACTTCGCATCTTTGCTTTGCTTTTTCGATCTCTTTTCTGCTTCTTTAGTTACTGTGTTGAATGTTACGTTGAGAGAATTGATAGCCTTTACCCTCCTAGTTAGCTTTCAGTTGATAAACACTACTCTTATTAAAAAACGAAAGGGACATAAATAATTGAGGCAGAGGTCCATAATTGAGATAAGAGAAATTTAAGATAATTTTTTAATAAGTTAAGCAACTTTTTAAAAGAGATATTAACTGTTAGAAAAATAAACGAAATCTTATAACACGTTGAAAATATCCACAGGTGTATCAATCAAAGCTGCAATAAGCAAGCCGGGCAAGAATTATTACTTAGATTCCCTTCTACTTCATGATAATGAATATTTGTCATGTAGTAAAAGAACAAAATATATGTACAGCTGCTTAAATATTGTTGTATTGTTTACTAATTCAATTTAAGTTTATATAAGTAATTTATAACAACATTAAATGTTATTATTTTTATTAAAATAAAACTCTAAAAAATTTTCAATAGAGTTATGTTTATATTTAGATTCTGCTTTGAATCCTTATTAATTTGTTTATTACAATCTTATAAGTATTTATAAGTGATATATAAGAGATTATCTATGAATGCGTGCTCTTTGTAAATAACATATAGTATTGATTGAAGAATAAAAAAAAAAGTCTAACATTAAATTTGTGCGTAGAAGAAAACTTTAAAATCTAAGAATTTTTACTTGAATAAAAATAAAATTAACAACTAACAAGACGAAAATCATGCGTTGAAAATTAAAATTAAATATAATATTATACTATAAGTTTTAAGGTTAAGTACTTAGATCAATTTTCCATAACAATGAGTGTTGCAAATATTAAATTCTTTAAAAAATTTTAAACTAACAAACAGATATTTCTGTTAATTATAATAAAAGTGAGTGTTTTAAACTGTTAGAATATTGTTGTTACATAGACTATAATTACAAACACCTATTATTAATGTTTTTTGAATGTTAAATAATGCAATCAATGAAGATATTTAGATTAAAAAATAAAAGATAGAGAAATCACAAAGTTAATGAAGATATTTAGATTGAAAAATAATTTTAAAAAATAAAAGATAGAGAAATCACAAAGTTAATTTATATAGATGAAAGATTGAGACTTCAATTTTTTCTTTTGATTACTAATATACTTCCCAATTCAATTGTGTTAAAACAATTATCGATTATCTAATCAATTATTATCACTATTCAATTGTCATGCAATAATAATAGTCTTATATGTTACCTTAATGATCATAGAAAATAATAAGATAAATAAAAATATTTAAAAATATTATATTTGTTAACTTATTGATAGTGTGATTATTTATTAATTAATTAATTAAAATTTATCCTTAAATAAATAATTGAAGAATAATAATAATATAAAATTAATAATTATAATTGATAAATAAAATTAATATCATAAAATCAAATTGTGTAAGAGTCTTTATATAGAAATGATATTACTAATATATAGATAATTATATGCTTTTTATTGTCAAATTCAAAATTCAATTTTTGAACGTACTCATTTTTTTCTCATATTAACAACATTTTTTTTTTATGATTTGATATTTTTTTCACAAAGTTGTATTGTTAACACTTAGTCAATTTAAAGAGTAAAATAACAATTTTAATAAAAAAAAGCTAAAATTTTATAAATAAAATAAAAAAATGACAATTTATTATGAAAAAATTGTTAAAGATGTTGACCATAGAATATAAACTTTGTGATTAAAGAAGAGGTATGCATGAAGTTATTTATGACTATAAAATATTTATTAAACTTAAAAAGAAGTTTTATCATACTATACTATGTTACACGTAATTATCTTAAATGCTACAATGTTAGACTTTAAAATAATAACATGAAAACAAAGTGATAAAATAAGAATTTTAAGGTAGATCAATTGTTACATAAAAAAAATATAATAAAAAATAATAATACATCAGAATATTAGAGTAATATTTTAAATATAAAAAATATTAAAAATCATCTAATGCAATTTAGTCACATATAAAAAAAATTGAAAGTATCAATAAAAAAAACTCAAAATAATCTTAAATACAGTTATTAAAATAGACTTTTTTAATTAATTTTATTTTTAAAATTTTAAATTTTAATTGAGCACAATAATATTGTTTAATTAATCTCACTTAATAAAATAATACTTTATTGTGACTGTTTTAGAATGAAACTCTAATTTAATTAAATAACAACACTCCAAAATAGAACCTAAATTTTTTCCTAAAAAATTATTTGTTAGATTTGGTCCACCACTAACAGTCGACACTGAACTCAAGGGAACCAGAAATCAGGATGGAACTGCATAGACACGACACCATAGCAGTAATACATATGGAGATAGGTTCCTTTGCTGGCATTGACTTATATTGTAATAACATGCTATTTTAATAATCTCATATGGCATGCTTATTCTCTTGCTTTAACTTTATCTCTCAGTTCCATTATTGATTTTGAAAATTTTTTAAGCTAGCTACTTGTTATATTGCAACCATGCCACACTCAA